TTCCAAAAAAACTGAGTTAGTACTATAACAATTTCCATAATACACACAAAAATGATAATACCCTGAAGAATAGGTAATACTAATCAGGAGAGTATTTAACTATTTTAATTAATCAAACTTTTGACTTTTTAAAAATGCCTTACTTTGAGTTGCAATTTTGGTTACAATTCTAGTCTGTACATATTCTAAACAAGGCACACAAAACCAAGTTATGCCTTATACCTGAAAAGGATATCACTTAACACTCCTTCATTACCTTAGATATTAACTCTGAATTGTTTTTTAAATAGAAGTAGTGTGTTTACCCACATATAGTATCATTCTTGCTGCTTTCTGATGCCAAAACTCGTATGAGGGAAATGTGATTAGCACGGGCTAAGAACATCAGCCATATCTTATGACAGTTAATAGTTATACTGTTGGGTATTAGTTGTGACCATTTTTGTAATGAGCTCATAAAGGGCCTTACAAAGGCCAAAATCCAAAATCTTAGTCTTTTTTTTTTTTTAATATTTTATTTATTTATTTGAGAGACAGATTACAAGTAGGCAGAGAGCCAGGCGGGGGGGTGCGGGGGGGGGAGCAGGCTCCCCACTGAGCAGAGAGCCCGATGTAGGGCTCCATCCCAGGACCCTGGGATCATGACCTGAGCTGAAGGCAGAGGCTTAACCCACAGAGCCACCCAGGCCCCCCCCCCCCCCAAATCTTAGTCGTATTAGCATCTCTCCAACCTCCAAAGAAATCAACCCTGAGTACATTATCAATCTAGACTATACTTAAAATAAATATCTTATCTGCTATATAAAATGCTTTGCTTCAATAACGTGTCTTCACAGTGATATTTTTCTCTATAGCAAAATCATCTACATTATCTATATTGGAAAAAGGAACCAGTCCCCAAAAAAGACAACAATACAATAACAGAGAAAGCAGCAGAGCACTGCTGTCTCTGCCTTGTCTTTAACTTAGCTGTGAAACCTTGAGCAATTCAGTCATCTGCCATCTCATCTGTACCAAATTAATCAATTTTAATTTGCCAAAGAGTGATGAGCAAAATTGTGGTACAATTTTTCATTCATTACTTTAAATTAAAGTAATCAGTTTAAATGAGCTTTATAACTGAAATAGTTAGCTAAATGTAGTACCCAAGAGTATTTTCTAGACAATGATAGTGTACAAAACCATTCAATAGTTTTTTAAAAAAGGGAAAAAAAAAGTGTTACCTTGAACTACTAGGCCATTAGCTATTCTGGACAAAAAAAATTCCTTTCCTTTTCATAAAAAAATAATCCAAACCCCGCCCCCCGCTCTTTTTTAACAATGCTGAACATCGTTAAATTATACAATTACTCATTAAATTACTCAATTAAACCTCATTATTCTATGGATGGAAATAATGTGATACACTGTCTGAAAAATTTAGTTGATTCCTGTAGGGCTGTATATACTGCACACCTTTCCAAACATTGACTACTGAGCCAGATGAACTGACTGACACACTGGTACACAGTAGGTCTTACTGAACTACTCAAATGGCTGATTTCAGAACCATATGCTGAGATGTAGCTGGTGATCTGCTCTCTCCCGCCCCATCCCATTCCAATCTGTGGAGCTATATTAGTTTCTGTCACCTTGTTGCTGAATCTTATCTCCTCTGCTGCCAGTTCTGCCGCTTATTGTCCATCACTGTTACTGATGTCCTTTGCCACTCCCCACTGTTATATTGCTATCCAGTACTTCTTTCTTCTGTTTCACCATTTTTAAGGGGAGAAGGGAGAACAGAAAGAGAGAATCTTAAGCAGGCTACAAGCCCAGCACACAACCAGATGCAGAGTTCTACCTCACAACCCCGAGATCATGACCTGAGCCAAAATCAACAGTCAGATGCTTAACTGACTGAGCCACCCAGGTGCCCGTTTCACCATTTTTGTCTCTTCTGTTTGTTTCCAGGCCTCCAGCTCTCAGAAAAAAGAGATCAACTTCACAGACACAGTCAGCCAATCAATACACTCCTTGCCTTCTAATTAAAAGAAAAAAAAAAATCAAAGCAGGTCGGAACGATCCTTGGTTTTTCTGAACTGCTTTTTATCACAATCTGATACTCAAAGGTTCATTCATTGTTATAAAAGATGCTTTATGGTCCTTTTTATTTCTAAGTTTGGAGTTATTGCAGATACTTGTCTACAGAAAATTGAAATTTTTACAATTATAGTAATATAAGGGTTAAGATAATCCACAGAGAAATAGCAGCTGTCTTCTTAACCCTTAGAAGACTCACCAAAAAAAAAAAAAAAAAAAAAATCCAAAAATTTCTATGAAAATCAGATCTTAAAATAAATGAATAGCACTCCAAAGAAGATATACATATGGCCCCAAAGCATATGAAAAGATGTTTAACACCTCCAATCATTAGGAAACTTCAAATAAAAACTGCATGAGATAGTACTTCACACCCATTAGGATGACTATTATCAGAGAGAGAGAGAGAGAGAATGTGTTTGGCAAAGATGTGAAAAAGTATCGGTAAAGACATAGAAAAATTGCAACCTCTGCTCATTGTTAGTAAGAACATAAAATAGTACAACCAGTGTGGATAACAGTAAGGTGGTTCCTAAAAAATTAAATACAGAATTGACATTTGATCCAATTCTGGATATATAGGCAAGAGACATGAAAGCAGAAACTCAAAGAGATATTTGCACACTTCTGTTCAGAGCAACCTTTATTCACAATAGGCAAAATGTGAAAGCAACACAATCATCCACGGTCAAAATGATTTTTAAAAATGTGGTATACACATACAATGGAGTATCAGTCAACCTTAAGAAGAAAACAAGATACAACATGCATGAACCTTGAAAGCATAATGCTAAGTGAAATAAGCCAGTCACCAAAGGACAATTATTGTATGATTCTATTCATACGAGTAAACCTTGAGTAGAGAGACAGGATAGTTAGAGACAGAAAGTAAACTGGTGATTGTGAGAGGCTAAAGGGAGGGGAGAACAGAGAGTTAATGTTTAAAGTGTATGGATTTTCAGTTGAGGAAGATGAAAAGTTCTGGAGATGGATGACAGTAATGATTGCCTAATAGTGTGAGTGTACTTAATACCACTCATATATACAGTTTAAAATGGTAAATTTTATGTTATGTATATTTTACCAAAATAAAAAAGATGAATGAAAAGTAAAGTTTACAATAGGGCAGGAAAGTACTTGATATTTACTTATCCATGGCTACTGTGTAAATCTTATCTGACTAAAACAGAGAGCACAAGTAATTTATTAACTAAGTAAATGGTGTTTAACTTCATTAGTGTCAATGAAGAGCAGAAACATCTCTAAATATTTAAGGACTTCAGATTCTCCTCATAGAGCTCTATCTGGGAAAGATGAAAAAAAAAATCAACAGTCTGTCAATAAGTAAGATCTCCCATGCACACACCAAACCACTGAATAAATACTCATTTTCGAGATTCTTAAACCCTAACGCCTCCATCATTGCTATTCTCGGATATACCAAACATACCCTTGCCTCACCACGTTCTGCTACACTAAAATACCCATCCCACAAGCTGCAGAGTTCACTCTCTCATTTCATTCAGATGTCTACTCATATGTTCCTTTATCAGAGAGGCTAAGCTTGAAAATCCTAGGTAAAATAGTATTCTCTGTAATCCTCACTCCCCACAAAGAGCTTTATTTTCTTCACAGTTTTTATCACTACTTGATATATACATTTACTTGCTAATCTTTTTCTCCATCCACTGCGAGTAAATTCCAGGAGCACAAGGACTTTGTCTATTTTGTTCCCTATTGTACCCCCATCACCTACAACACCACTTGGCACATTGAGGGTGGCCAATAAATACTTGTTAAATGAATAAACAGATGGATGCTCACGGCATAAAATCATATTTTCCTCTTGGTCTTGGTACACTTCTACCATCTCCAGCCTTCCAACAGCCACCAGCCATTGCCTCAAAGCCATCCAGAGTAGGAATGATTAAAGTGGAACACCTAGTTTAAAAAGTCAGATAGAAGCCTGGTACCAGCACTGACAATAATACCTTAATTAGACACTTCAAACAGTGCTTGCTCTCACAGTTTCTAAATACCCTAAGTGAATACACTATAACCTCACAATATGGAATAGAGTACAAAAATACAGAATTTACCTCTAACACTGCTTTAAAACAAAAAGATACCATGTATTGCGTAATAAACATTGCACTGCATCTGTTTTAACAAACATTACGAGGCACTTGCTAGTCTGAAAACCACAGAATTTTTCGCTCTACAACTTCGCAGAGGTAGGGAAATACACAAATGCAAGAACACTAGTTGTTAATAAATATAGACAAAAGTTAAGTAACCAATTCTTGGCCCAAGAGATACACACTCTGCAGCATGAGAAGAATATGTTAAAACTCTGGATATGAGAGAGTAAAGCATGCTTCCAATACACATCTAAGTTTATTTTAAAGTCAAAAGTTTAAAAACCCATTCCAGTCAAATGTCCCACCAGCGCCCATACATACATTTTACAAGTTTTGAGAGATTTTTTATAACTGCACTTTAATTTTCTGCCTGCAGTTAACGACATCTGGTAAAGCTTCCGCCGTTGATTATAATTTTTATAGAAAAAAAATGTTTAATCAGACAATAAATACCGTCCCTCCTGAGAAAGCATACAAGGGCCCATTACTCTATGGTCTCTAGGGCTCACCAAACCCCACATGTTCATTTGTAAGAACAGTCAACCAGGGAACGCACGTGTCCTGCCCCGCCTCATAAGTAAAAACGGCAGGGGGAACCTGCCCTTAGGCGGTGTCCCAGAATTGGGGACGCCTGTGCGCAGGGCACGCAGTGTGAGATGTGGGCAGCCTGCGGCCCCGGGGCTAACGATCCCAGCCCGAGACCGACCAGGCCAGCCCCTTCCTCTGATTTCCGCCAGGGCCTGCCCCCGGAGCTCATATCCCGGCAAACGCAGGTCCTACCTGAGCTCTGCCCCCAGCTACAGGGCTGCGGGGGGAGTCGGGAGGAGGCGTGGCCTTCCAGCTCGCCAGACGAACTCCCTCGTGCGGTTGTTATGACTTTCCCTCTCGGGATCCGCGCCCCGACCAAGTTCGAGCCGCACTTCCGGGGTCCGCGGGCAACTGAAACGTCATTGCGCACGCGACGGCGTCTGCGACAATCCGGAAATGGGCGGAGCGTAGTCGCTAAATTGGTTCCTGTGGAGCTAGGTGGGCTGGGAGAGAGAGGCTTGTGGGAGGTAAGAGTTGTTCTATTCTTTCTCCGCGGGCCTTGGTCGCCTTTTCCTATACCCTCTTTTGTAAAGCGGGAGACTCCACTTCCTGAGTAGCCTTGAGGACGGGGCCACCTTGAAGCCTCGTTCTCCAAGAAAATTAAAAAAGCAGTTGCGAGACTGTCCATGCAGCCAGTTGCCTACTCTCCCACTTATGTTTTATTCATACTTTACCCACTCCATTCAGCTCCAGAAAAGACAGAAGGTCGAAACTTCTAGATTTGGAAGGTTAAATTTACTTCAAAATTACGACTTATAAAGTAGGAAATTAAGGTTAAGTCCCCTCACCTGCTTTTTTCCTATTTCCTGAGTTACTAGTGGGATGAATGAGAAACATTTGTGGAAACCTGTAATCACATGACTAAGAGGACTTTGGTTCTAAACGCAGCCTTTATGGGGAAATTCCTGGTAGCAAAAATTGCTCATGAAAATCATTTAAATGGCCCACAAAGTACAGAATACATAATGTTAAAAATAAGTCTAGATCTTTAATTCTTATCCACACTTGAATGTGAGACCTCTTAGGTAGTTGAAATGTTAGAATGAAAGTGTTTGTGTGTCCATATCCGGGCATTTAAACAATCAGAAATCCAAGAGGCAATTCGTAATCTTCATCTTAACCATTTAGCATCATTTGACACAGTTAATTACATCTTTTTACTTGAAACTTGATACACATTTTTCCTTTGACTATTGTGAGATCATGGTGCTTTTTTGATTCTTCTTCGCTTGATTCTTCCTGATTTCTTTCTTTCTTTCTCTCTCTTTCTTTCTTTCTTTCTTTCTTTCTTCTTAAGATTTTATTTATCTATTTGACACAGAGAGAGAGCACAGGGAGAGGGAGAAGCAGGCTCGCCACAGAGCAGAGAACCCAACACTGGGCTGGATTCCAAGACCCCGGGATCATGACCTGGGCTGAAGGGCAGTAGCTTAGTGGACTGAGCCACCCAGGTGCCCCTCTTCCTGATTTCTAAACGTGATTATGCTCCAGACTTATTCCCTTCTTTATCTCTCCTTATTCCCCAGGTGATCTCATCCATTTCCTTCACCGTGTTTTACATAACTTCACTATGCTGATGGCTTCCAAATACCCACATCCAGCTCTGACTTCTATGATTATTATACTCACATATCCAACTTCTTATTCAACATATTACTAGGATATTTAATATGCATTTCAGACTCTATCTTCTACCTTCAAAACCTGTCTCCTATTGCATATCTCCCCATCTCAGTAAATGGCATTGGATTCTTAAAATTGTTCAGATTATCCTCTGACTCCTCTTTCTCTAACATTCCATGTCCAATCCCTCAGCAAAATCTGTTGGCTCTTTTTTCAAAAGGTATGCTGAACCTAATTAGTTCTCAACACCTATACAGCATTATTCTGCTACTCAGTGGATGCTGTAATTGCCTTTTAATTATTCTACAAGCTTCTTTTTTTTTTTTTTTTTGCCTTCCTACAGTCTAGCCTCCATTTGGCAGCTGTAAAAATGCTTCTAAAATACATGTCAGAATTTGTTACTTTCCTGGACAAAACTTTAAAGACCTTCTTTACTCAAGTAGAAGAAAATAAAAAATTGTTTTCATAAAACTCTAAGATACTACATGATCCGGCCCCTGGTCCCTCTTCGCTGCCACTGAGGAGGAGGGTTGTAAGAGATTTGGAAATGTGGTGGGGATGAGGCTTGACCAGTAACCTTGGAGTTTGGGAAATGGCAGTCCCAAAGGTGATTACCCAGCTCTCTTGCCTGGAAATATTTAAAGGGAAGAGACCAACTGAGGGTGCTGGTGATGACAAAGAGATAAAAACTGTCACATTTTCCCAACAGCTAGTAAACATGTTGGTACATGGCTGTTGTATTCATTTTCAAGGGCCACCAATAACAAAGTACCTTAAACTAGGTGGCTTCACAACAAAAAATTACTGCCTCACATTTCTGGAAGTTAGAAGTTCAAGGTGAAAGTGTAGGCAATGTGGTTCTTTCTGAACACTGGAAGGAAATTTTCTTCCATACCCCTCTTCTGGGATCTGGTGGTTTGCTGGAATCTTTGATGTCCCTTGGCTTATAGATGCATTATCCCAATCTCTACTTGTATCTTGTCATGACATTCTCCCTGTGTATTGTCTCTGCATCCAAATGTTTGTCTTTGTATAGGGACTCTAATCATATTGCATTAGGGTATACCCCAGTGACCTCATTTTAGCTTGATTATCTAATGGCCTTATTTCCAAATAATGTCATTTGTGAGGTAATGGGCTTAGGACTTTATTGTATCGTATCTTTTCAAGGGAACACATTTCAACTTGTACCACTACTAGAATTGTTTTGAAAAAGAAGTGTTTCCAGTAGAATGAAAGAAAGGAAAAGCAACCGAGGAGCAAAATGAAGTTATATGAAGTAAGCCACCAGGAGAGGATCTGCATGGAAATTTGACGTGCTGGCTGGAGCATTCATTCTGCGCATCTGGCAATGGCAGTGTTGGGAGTTCCAGAATTTGGGTGAATCTCCAAAATGTACAAAATCGTCAGCAGTTGTTTTTAGGTAGCTTTAGGCAGTTGTTACAGAGGGCACCATGATTTTCCTTTACAATAGCCTTTTCTTCCCCCATCCCTAAGCTGATGCTAATGGACTTCAAGGCAACAGAGTGAATGTGGGACGTATAGAAGTAAAAGATGGAGGAACCAAGACAAAACAGATTTACCCTCTTCCTCCCAGTCATATTTGTGGGTCAGGCCTATGCCAGGAAAGAGGACACTTTAAGTAAGTTAGAGGTTTCCAGTTCAATATGTAAAGAGTTTGGAGCTCGGAGGTCAGTCACTTCCATCCTCACAATAAGAAAAACCTGAACAAACTAAAAATCATCAACTCTTTTCTAAATCCATGAAAGACTGAGGTCAGCAGGAAAGTTATTGACCCGCAAAAAGGAGAGAAAGGCAGGTATTTAAAGAGCACAGCTTAGAGGGAGCAGAAGTTGGCAGCAGGAGTCAGTGTGGGTAGGAACACCCTACCCACACTGACTCCTGACTCCTGACTACCCAGTAATTGGTAAATTGCTGGAAGCTCATTGTGGACTACCATGAGAATTTAAACTCATCAACTAGCTTGCTTTATTTATTTATTTATTTTTAAAGGTTTTATTTATTTATTTGACAGAGAGAGATCACAAGTAGACAGAGAGGCAGGCAGGCAGAGAGAGAGAGAGAGGGAAGCAGGCTCCCTGCCGAGCAGAGAGCCATGTGGGACTCGATCCCAGGACCCTGGGATCATGACCTGAGCCAAAGGCAGCGGCTTAACCCACTGAGCCACCCAGGTGCCCCCATCAACTAGCTTTAGAGTTAAAAGGTTCAAGTGGTTCCCCTTTTGGGGGAAGGGAGACCACCCACATTCTCCTGAATTTTACCTCTAGAAGTTCCGCCAGGTTCTCACTGTGAAGATAGGAGAAAAATCCTCTTCTGTCTGGGGAAGAGGAAAAGTGACCGTTTTGAAATATGCCTAGAGCTGTCTGTTTTCCTTATCAACCCTGCCATTAAGGGAAACTATTTTACCTAACCAACTGGAGGTTTAGCAATCTAGAGCAATAAAAATACTCACCCCCATCCCCCTCTAGTCTTTGAAGTGGGTTGGGGGAATGGACAACATGTAGGAACAGAAGGGGACTGTAAACAGAGAAATGAAAACACTAAGGATGAATCCAGAGGAAGTGCTAGAAAACTAAAATACATAAACAGAAATGAAAAATAGCTTTGATTGGCTCATAAGTATACTGGACACAGCCAAGGAGAGAATGTAGGTTGAAAATGTGTCAATAGAAGGTTTATAAAACTGAAATGCAAAGAGAAAAAAAAATGAAAAAAAAAAAAACAATATCCAAGTACTCTGTGGAAATGATAAAATGTGTAACATTGGCATAATAGGAAACCTAGAAGAAGAAAAAATAAAGAAAAGAACTATTCGAAGAAATAGTGACAGAATTTTCTAAAACTTTTCTTAATGCAGACACAAAACCCACAGATCCAGGAACCATAGAAAACTGCAAACTGGATAAATACTAAAAAATGTATACTTGGACATGTATATTCTGAAAGTAAAAAATCATGAAGCTGGGGGGCGTGTGCAGGGGGGAACCTTGCCTACAGAGAAAAAGGGGTAAGAAATTGGACTTGGGCCGTCTGGGTGGCTCAGTGGGTTGAAGCCTCTGCCTTCGGCTCCGGTTGTGGTCCCAGGGTCCTGGGATCCAGCCCCACATCAGGCTTTCTGCTCAGCAGGAAGCCTGCTTCCCCTTCTCTCTCTGCCTGCCTCTCTGCCTACTTGTGATCTCTGTCTGTCAAATAAATAAATAAAATCTTTAAAAAAAAAGAATTAAATTGGACTTACCTTCAGAAACTATGCAAGAAGAGAGTAGAGTGAAATATTTAAAGTGTTGGAAGGAAAAAAAAACCCACAGAATTTGATATCCAGTGAAATTATTTTTAAAAAGGCAAAAGAAAAATACTTTCTTAGACAAACAAAAATGGAGGGAGACTGTCATCAGTGGACCTGAACTGCAAGAAATGTTAAAAGAAGTTCTTCAAAGAAATGGAAATGTTATAGGTTGGCAACTTGGTTCTGAAAAAAAAAAAACAAGTTTTAGAGAAGGAATAAAGGTAAAATTAAATCTATTTTTCTTATTCTAAATTGATCTGACAAAATAATACTGTCAATATTGTGTTCTATAATTAGAGCTTGTGGATAAGTAAAGTGAATGACTGCAGTGTTACAAAGGACAGGAGGGAGGAATTGAAAATACTCTGCACTTTCACTACCCATGAAGGTATATAGTGTTAGTTTGAAAGTGGGC